TCATTTTGTGGGCAGCGTTTGCCACATAAACACTTTGCTGCTGAACACTATGAATAATTAATGAGCTCTCTGTTGTTGTTGCCGGTCAAGTCGATGCTGCTGTTGTTCCCAACTTTTAAACAGGCAACCAACAAATGTTGTTTCTGTTGCCTTTTGCGTTGCATGCTTTTAGGCGCTACTCGACCAATAGGCTCATGCAATATTCGTGCAGCATTTAGGGCGCACTCTTAACTGGACTCTTGCCTTGTAATTACAGCAAATTCAAAACAGAAACATTGTCAACTCTGAACAGACTTTCATTGGCCAGAGCCAATGCTTGGCCTGATTTGATTTTTCCACTTGAAATTTGTATTCAATTTACAATTGTCTCCATGAAGTTTGAGTATTTCAATTAAATTTTTATATCATTTTGTATTCACTTACCGATTTCTCAGGCTAATTTTATATTAGCTTCTAGCCTGTCCCATGTCAGACGTATGGAATAGCAGCAAAGATGCAGCTGAAAATGCTAAGATCACTGGAGCTGAGATCACAGATGCCAAAGTGCCAATAATCCTAGAGAGACTAGATCAAATGATCAGCAAGCTTCAGCATAAGAGCTAGGATAAGGCTCAGACGACACCGCCCTCAACATATACCCAAATTATATCAAATGTGCTCTTAAATTTTTATTTATTTATTTCTATGTTCCCTTAAGTCATGTACGAAAGTTTATTAATTAAGTTATACTTAGATTAAGTTTCTAAAAACCTAGCAGGACACTAGACAATGCATAATAAATAAATAATAATAAAATATATTTTTCTGCTTTTTCTTAACTTTTTGATTTCATTTTTCAATTCAACAATTTGTTGAGCACTTGACACACACTCACACAAATCACATTCGCACATCCTCGGCTCAAAATCAAATTATGTTATTTTTATAAGCAGCCCAAAAGTATGCAAATGTTTGTTATGCACAAACATATGATTCTCTTGGTTAGAATAAACGTTGCCTACCGCACAACAACGGCAACAGGGGCTTACAGGCAAAGCAAAAAGGTCGTTAGATTGTTAACAAGTTCATAAAAAGACGCTGCTATACAAACAGGTCGCACACACACCACACACATACACACACACACACACATGTGCAAGGCACAATTATAGAAGCAGCAACTGGATCGAGGGTTGAAGGCACTTGCGCCTCTCTAAATACTACACGACGCGACTGGCTGCGTATTTACAAAGCACTTTTTGCCATTCTGCTGCTACCGCTGTCGCTGCCACTGCCGCAGCCGCTGCTGCGGCGAAGAGCAACAAAATGCAAACAGCACAAAAGTATGCTACAAAATAGAGGCCAGAGTCAAGTCAGAAGCCAGGGCTGACTGCAGCTGCTGTTTGTATGCGTCAATTGAAGTCTCTAAGAGTGTGTATTCGTGTGAGTGTGTGTTGTGGGCGTGGCGGCTACATCTATACGTATGCATATGTGCCTGTGCACAGATTGAAGTTGGCGGCTTGCATATTCAATGCTAAATTAAAGCATAAGCAAATACAATTGGAAAATCGCACAAAACCAGAAATAAATCCGCTTAAATGCAATGCAATTTTCGATGTTGTTGTTGCCTTTTAAGTGCAAGCGCTTGTTGTTGCTTTCAGCGTTATTTAATGCCTAGTTGAGCAACAATAACAACAACAGCTGCTGCGACAACAATTAAAAGCGATTTGTGACCGCAGCGAAAAGCGCTTTAATTCTATTGCCTGACCTCCACACACATACTCATGAGTGTGTGAGTGTGTGTGTGTGTCTGACTATTTAAAATTTAAAACAATGAAATTGAAATATTTGAAATATGTTTGGCCAAATTAATTAAATTCCAATAAGGCAAGCATTAATAATAATTACACGCACTTTTTTTGGCCCATCTTAATGTTTTATATTGATTATATTTGCATATTTTATTAATTTAATTTTAATATTTAATCTATTTTTTATGCAGGGTTTTTTCGCGTTTGCTAAAAAGCGCAATTTCATCATTTATTTACATTGTGTGAAGCATTTTTCAATTAAAAAGCCATTGTTCTAGTTTTACCGAAACTCTCAAGTTAAATATTGAATCAATGTTTGCAATTGATTATAACACGAGCCCGTAAAAAAATACGTGTGTGTGTATGTGCGCGCTCTCTTTTTGTTGACACAACTTAAAAGGACTTACCATCACTGCGGTATAAATATAAAATTAGTTTATATAATATTTAGCAAGTAAATATAACGAATAATTATTAATAAATATAAAAACTTATATCTAAGTTTTATTAAACCAAATATATATTTGGTATATATAATATATATCAAAATATATTTAAGTTATTTAAGAAATATACAAAATATTATATTAATCAAATAGAAATATAACATATATTATAAATATAAAAATATATTTAATAATTTAATAATTTAATTGGAAAATATATATGTTTATAATATTTTATAATCATAAATATTTATATATGAATTATTCGATTAAAGGCTTGGAAAAGTTTTAAATCCTGCGAAATTTCCAAGTGTAAATCTAAAAAAAAAAACTAAACAAAATATAGTTTTTACAATTTCACTTTTGGAAATTAATGAATCGAAATATCATCTTTGAAACACACTTATCATCGATGATAGCACCTTTTTTTGTTGACTTCAAGCAATCTGATCTTTGGTCTTTGACTTATGTTAGAAAAATAAAATATATTATAAATGAAAAAAGCTATACGATTTTGGAAATTAATATTTTACGTATATACATTTTTTTTGAGGGGTTTTATTACATTTCTACCCAATAATTTAATTCCTTTTTTTTAATCTCGTTTAATCCCAGTTTTAGTAGTCTGTAAATAAAAACAACAACTAAGAGAGATCTTACGTAAGTTTTTTAATATTTTCACTAGTTTGTATCGAGTATTAAAAAATAAAAAAAAAAATGAAAATCGCCATTACGACACCAAGATTCGAACCAACATTGCTATACAATGTGCATCAACTCTATTAATACCGCTACTTCATAATTTAAAAAAAAAGAACAGAAACAGCTTCTCTCTGCTGTATTGTTCGATGCCATTTAGTTAAGATTCTTATCCCATAGGAATAAATAATTATCCCCTTCTTAATATAACTTATCTTCATTGCCATGGTCTCCCATGGTTGAGTTTCGGTAGTGCGTATAAATTTAAATGTAATTGCATTCTGCCGTAGGCAAACATAAACACACATACAGGGCAGTTTGTATGTGTATAAATCAGACGTACACACACTCCCACACAATTATTTGTAGATACAAACTAACTTGCATTAACCATAGCCCATAGCATATAGCGTTAACATTAACGTTGATTGGCGAGCTAAAAAAGGTTCAGCTCTATAAGAAACCAATCCCTGAGACCATATTCCTGAGAAGTTCTACCATTTGTTTTTAAATAAAAAAAGAAGAAAACTGAAGAAATAATCTCTCTAAGATCTATCAAAAATTCTATTATTTATTATGATTTTCTATTACAGTTTATTAATTGCTATTTTTTCTGTGTACGACTGATTGATGGATATAACCAGCAATTCCAAATATATGACCTGCTTCTATTGAAAGCTGACATTAAATTAGGCATATTCCACTTATGGGTAATGGTGCCATATTGATAATTATGATAATGTCTAATGGTTCCAACTGGTTAAATAGAAAAATTCCATTGTTCGCATTTTTAGACAAACAAAACTAAACACACACTTTCTACAATTTGTTTGATTTGTTTGCTTTGTTTACTTCGTTTGCTTTGCGAAATAATCCAAATACTAAAACTTTTCGATGTGAGCATTAAAATCGCATATTAGGGAACAGCTGTTTAAGCTATGCAAAAACACTTTAAATGACTATATAAGCAGTTGTGTTTTGGAGAAAAGTATCATTCACAAACTGATAACTGATCTGAATAAGATGAAAGTCAAAGTAATAGTACTAAGCTGTGCCCTCCTGGCCATATGCCTTACATATCTTCCCATGAGCAATGCAGTGGCTTGTGACGCCACCGGCGGGCCTACAGGCTGTGTTGATTGTACCTTAGCCGCCAACGTAGCTGACCCTGACTGCCTTACAACAACCGTAGCTCCAACAACGGTTGCGCCTGACGGCGATACCACAACAGCAGCGACCCCAGGCGCAGTTACCACGTTAGCGCCCTCAGGTGGAAAGAAGAAGAGGATAAGGCGCAAGTGGAAGGTGGTCAGGAAGCCTGGCAAGAAAGTCATCAGGAGGCACCGCCGTGGAAAGAAATGGGACCTCCTAGGCTAATTGAATAGACGATAACTGATAACTGATAACTGATAACCCCCGAGGACCGACAACGAATCGAAATGAACTAAGATTTTATTATAAATAGATATAAGAAATTGTTACAAAATGCACATTAAATATGTTGAAATTATCATAAATACAAACTGCTTTTTCTGATTGTTAGACTAATAATGATTGATAATAGCATTTGGGAAGCTAAAACCTTAAGACTGTTACCCAAGCTTCACACTTACACAGAAAAAGATTTCACAAATGTATACCCAAAGTTGTAGGAAAGCCGAGTCTTATGGCTCCTTCTCAGTGAGTCCACCGTTCAATCATTTTAAGACTTTGGCTTCTTATGAACATAGAACTCCTCGGCAACAAGCCCCGCCATGTTGCAGATCTAAATTAAAGAAGCAGCTGACAGAATTCGATATCAATTCGAATTGCGATTCTTCGAATAGATTAGAATGCCGCATTTGCTTTGCTTGAAAGGATATTCAACAACTCTTGATTCCCATTTCCAAGTCAAAGATCAATCAACGTTTGACAGTTTCCAATGTATTACGTATACGTAATGCGTATTATGTAACGTATACGTAATATATTATGTTCTTCAAAAACAATAATTTCCCAAAATGAGTATAGAATCGCCTATTAAAAGTGGGTAATTTCTAAACAGCCCATTCAAAGAGAAACTCACCGTCAATCATGTTGACACCCAGAAGTTGTTGTATTTTGCGAGTGGCGGGGCGCTCGCTGTTGGTGCCTGCAACGAGAGAAGGAAAAGTTTTAATTAAATAGCAAATATTTATGCAGTATTTATGCAAATAATAAAGGCGAAAACGGAAGTTTTTCAAACCTAAAATTGCTGTAAAATATTAAACAATTAAGTGGAAGGGAATGCTGGCGCACAAGTGTTAATAATTGAAATACACGTAGCTGGCGAACTTGCTGAACAAATAGGCGAGGCGAACTTTTTGCCTGCGGCCAATTAATAATAAATCGTCAGGGGGAAATCAAAGTCAGAGTTTGGAGGCAAGCGTGCCGCATGCCGCTTGCCTCCAAACTTCAACTAATGACGCGCTCCATTTGGGACGAACCACGTGCAACAACAAATTAGCGCCACGAAACAGGGCCACAAAACTTTGCGCAGCTAAAGTCAAAAGGTGGACAAGACACACGAGATAAAGGTGCAAAAGAGGATGAAGAAAAAACAACAACAAGAAGAAGAAGCAAAACTTTAGCGAAGGCTTCAATGGGTCTTAGCAACTGTTGCGGACTTGGCGCTTGATTAAGCGCGTCCAAAAATTTTAGGGACCATTGCCCAGGCCCAGACCAGGCCTTCATCTATGTGCAGGCTCTTCAAGTTTTTGTTCGCGTCACGCGGCCTGATTGATAAGGTAAATTTGACCCGGACTTTGGACAAGGTGAACGCAAAGTGTTTCGAAACAATTTGTTAAGGTATTTTCGTGGTTTTGAAATTATGAATAGGCTACGGCATCTTAACTACACTTTGTTACTCATTGTTAAATTAAATCAAGCTGCTTTGTTGGCCAACAGAACTGGGGCTACTTTAGCCTAATTGCATAACTCAATTATCCTGCCAGGCACTGAGCCCGGTTAGGGTCAGTGTTTTCTTTCAAGACCTTAATACAAAGTAATGTGCAAGAAAAGCGGCCGAAATGCAATTTAGGAATTTAAGTTAAACTAAATTGAAGAGCAAAAGGCTCTTCAATCAAGCAATTTCAATCGTGAATTCCATTCGAAATTCCCATAATGCTGCCGTCTAATTTTAAAAAACTATTTTGCAACAGCCTTGACTGGCTGCCAGTCTTATTAATCCCGCATCGAAGAGGAACAGAAGCTCATCAATCAAATGCCCTGTTAATGCCTAAGCCCGATAGCCAATCTCCGAAGTTGGCCCAACAATTTACGCACATAAAATGTATATATAAATAAATAAGCATAAAACTGTGAAGCTCGAGTTCAAACGGCCGAAATTGTGTTCGACTGAAGATTAACCAAGCTCACGCCCAAGTCCACCCCCACTCCCACACCCATTCAAGCAACGCCCACCCAAATATCAGAACTCATTTTGACACGCATCAAAAGTGAAAAAACTGACAGCGTGAAGAATTGTTCAACAGAATTGAATTCGTACCTGAAGGCGTTCGTTTGATTGATTCGCATATTGCTCACAATGATGATAACAAAGATGCTACTGCTGCTGCTGCTGTTGCTGTTGCTGTTGCTGTTGGTGCTCATTGGCTTGAATTGATATTTTGCTGACACTAGCCACAAGTTCAATTAGATTGCCTAATCAATTGTGAATGCTGAGCTGTCTGGCGGCCTAATTAAATTTTCTAATCGACTTGCCTCCAAATTGTGTGGCAAGTGCCACAGAATTGAATTCAGCTGATTTACGCAGCGGCGCACACTTTCTGGCAATGTGGCTTAAGTAGTCCAGCTAATAAATTATTTGCTCCCAGTGAAAAAAATAAGCAAACTTGCGACGCATAAAAAACACTCTCGCATCAGGCCCAAAGGCAGGCAATGCTTTATGTTGTTTATGTGCAAATTGTTTTCTGCTGTTTATTTGCTTTTATTTTCTTCTTTTTCATTTTTTTAGTGTTATGATTTATGCCTACACCAAGCTGCCACGCCCCGGTCATAATTTATGCCCGTGCACAATAAAAAAGAAATGGAAATGCTCTCGAGCAAACCTTGAAAAACATTTGTATAATTACTCAGCTGAAATAAAAGCTCACTCGGGCTTTATAGTAAAGAGTTCTCAAATTACTTAATGATATGACCTCGTATGCATACATGGCTAAGCCAATGTAGAAGCCAAACAGGGCCAAAAAGGATTTAGTTGCTTAGTGGAAGTTGCCATTGAAAATTTTGGGATATTAATGAGGGACATAAAAAAGTCGGTTAGCTGAGAAAAGCATTTTGCTATATATATATATATATATATATATATATATATATATATATATATATATATATAATATTTAAATATATATTTCGTTTACTATATATATATATATATATATATATATATATAGTAAACGAAATATATATTTAAATATTATATTTAAGAAGAGCTTCATCGCTAACCAGAGCTCTGCTTCTCCCTCTCTCTTTAAGATCAATATTCTTTAGATGTGTCTTCCCCTTCTCTGGGTTTCTCTGACAGAATTCTTTATTTATAAGAGCCTTTCCTCTCTCTCATTTTTTACAATGTATTGTCTCTCTCTTAAATACAATCTTGTCGACTGCCAAGTGCTCCATCACGAACATGGAAACCTTAGGCTCTCTGTCTCTCTCTCTCTCTCTTTATCAGTCTCTTCCACTCTGTCGCTTATATTATATGTATCATCTCTTTCTTCAAGTCTTATCCTAAGACTGGTGACCTCCTCTTGCCCACTCTCTCTCTCTCACACTACATCTATGCATATTTTTTTTTTAATTTCTCTTTCACCATCATGGAGCCAGTCTTATTGGCAGCTCTTCATACATGACAGCCACACGCACACACACACGTTACCTCAAGTTTCTGATAGCTTCATTTTCTCCCCTTCACCTTCATTGCAGGAAAAGAGCATAAAGAAATGTGCCGCCTAGGAGCATCCTACAAATTTAAAATAAATCACAGCCTACCACAAGGATGCAGCTCCTGCATCGCCTGCCAGCGAACGAAGATGGCATGCATAATTAGAGCAACCTGTCTGCTGGAATGAATAAATTTGCGCCCTGAATGCGCCTCATATGCGTACACTTGAACATGAATGCGCAGCTGAGGCAAACTCAACTCCGAATACCCATATATATGTATGAATAACAGCATGTGTGTGTGTGCTATGTGCAGAAACTGCAGAAATAAATAGTTTAAAAAAATAGAGACCACAATATAAAAATTGAACTAGCTTAAAGCCTTGTAATTATACAAAGTTTTTAATATTTTTAAATAGTTGTTTTGCTCATACAAGAGACTTAAGTGTTGAATTTATTAAACATTTGTTTTATAACAAAAACAACGAAGCTTTTAGAGCCGAAAAAAACGAAGTATAGCTTGAGCATTGAGTGATATCTTTCAGCAAGTATTATAAAGTTACTTAGATTAATTATTTGACGCAAAGTTGAAACTAATTTCTTAATATTATTATATTTCAATTTATACATAAGTAATATATTATATTACTTATACATATATATAAGTTATGTAATAGCAAGAGAATATTCCTATAGGAAGAGTTTAGTTATGCTTCAACAATAGCTTAAAAAATCATTTATTATAGCAAATATATCCTTACATCAATAGGAATCTGCTCAAATAGCAGTCACAGAATTCTGCACAAGGAACAATTAGTTAATTGGAATTATTGTTATTACACATTTGTTTCGATCAAACTTCAAATACCGTTGAATTAGCTCTTAGTCAAGCCAAGTAAGGTTCTGGTAAGTGATTGCCAAATGAGAAGTATCAAATATGAATTTCATGATACAACTGACATTCAGACTATTTCCTTGATTACAGCTTAACTGCGAATGGGAAGCTGTCAAGTGTGTAAAAAGCCATTTGAGCAGAGCTTCTACAGCAACATGTTCATATCCTGGCAGTTTGATTGGGAGGCGAAGTCAAGAAAATTAGAAAGCTGAAGCTCGCTTTTTCAACACCAACTGCAAAATAGACAACTTCGCCTCCTATCAAACCGACCAGCAAAATCTCCCACACAGTTCGTATGCTGCAATGGCCAAAAATAAAATCTATGGACCAATCCACTCACCCATGTGAACCCTCCCTGCACGATGACACCAGTCTCTATACCTCCTAATGACTTCATGTGTCGCCTCCCAGCTGCCAGAATGTTTGAACTGACCGAATTTCATAATGCTCGCAGTAAACTAACCAGATGACCCCACAGGTTTGCCTGGCAATCGCACACTAAACGCGTTCAGCCACGAACATGTGGATGGCTCTATATCAGGATGGAAAGGATCAAATGGACGATCTACTGTTCAGGCATAAACTTCTGGGAGATTCTATTTTACAACAGGAAATATATGATTCTTCAACGAAATGAGACTCCCACAGTGACCTGAGCATCTTATCGTTGAACACCTGTTGAAGTGTTCAAATGAACTGCGGAGTAGCATTTAGAAATTTACAAACATCTTCAGCGTCAAGCCGTCGTGGGCTTCAATAAATATAAGATTTCATGTAAGAATTCCACATAAAGAGAGTCGCTACTGCTGCGCGAATTTCAACCCAAAAATTTCAAATTTCTCAAACGAAATCACTACGAAAATGGACTGGAGCTACGTGATTTGTGGGAACCTCAAAGCTACAGAAAAATCTAATGATTCTCACAGACCTAGAACTCATTGGACGACCCAGCTCCAAACGCCACATGTTCTGACTACGCACTAACAACAGGTAAAAGCTGTGTGAACCATGACATCCTATGGACCAGCAGGGAATCAGGTGAAATTAGAAATACTGTAGAATAAAATACTACAAGCAATAAATAGGTATAGATTTAAGATGCACTTACTGACTTCCTGTCTTACTCACTCAGGTTTAGAGACAATAAGCTGCAGCATATTGAACTGTATAAAGGGCAAAAAATAGCACCTCAAACTTCAATGTCAAGTGTTTTTAAAATCTAATATATATATATTATGCGAAAGTCAAGGTGACTTCCAAAAATAAAAAAAATGAAGAAGTAGTAGGCAAGTAAGAGTACTCTAGTCAAGGCTTAT